CCATGTGCCTGTGCATGGCTTGGGAGGGTCTGTGCACAGAGCACTGGCTCAATGACTGTACAATACATAGCTTACCTTGTGTTGTACTCCAGTCCAGGCCACCCACAAACAGTTTTCTGCAATTGAAGCATACAGCATTTTAGGGTGCTACACAAAAGCAGCTTCACCTTATTTGACAGAATTCAGCTATTCTCAGTAGCACTGCTGGTACTGAGGCCCCCAGGACCCCACTGTTCTTCATCAGAAAGAATGATGCATTGCAACACCCACCTTCTGTTCACATAGAAATGAAGCATCCACTTTGCGTGCCACGAGCACAAACAGAGGTCGTAGTCTCATTGAAAGAATGTTTTATTCTTGTATGAAAATAGAAGACAAAATACAGGAAAGCCTACATTCCTCTGAACCCCTCACTTCCAGGTATTTGAGAAAACAGAGTTACTTTGAGGAACCATTGTGAAAGCAAAGAAGAAAAAAAAAAAACAACACAGAACATCACAGCTGCTCTTAGTGGGGAAGAAGGGAGTTCCACCAAGAAAAACTTCGTAGTTCAGAAGAATACATTCAAAGCATGACTGAAGTTACCTGGAAAGCGACCCAAGAACACCACTACAAGGCTGCTCTCCCTGCTGCACCCCAATGGGGGGATGTCAGACCCCACCGAGACCTCATGGGCTCCGTGTTACATCCCACAGAGCACAACAGCTGCTTTGGGGTCCTCAGAGCTCCAATTTAAGGATGAAAACAAAATCCAGAACTCCTGAGATAAAGCAAGCTGAGAGAAGACCAGACAGCCTCATTTCAACACCTAAGTCCATTAGTTACTTCAATCCCAGGCTAATGACCAAGAGGTGCAGCACACAGTCCTGCATCAAGCCTTTGAAACTCAGTTCAAAGAACAGCTTGAGCTCTTCTACATCCATTTGCTACCTAATATTGAACAGTGCAAGATGAATGATAGCCTGAATAGGCCAAGAAATGTCTACTACATGAAAATACATCAACAACGCTGCTGCTGCAGCCCTTTGTAAAAAGAGGCATCACAGCAAAAGTAACACTGACTGAAGTTCACGTGTTTGATGTCACCACCCTATGAAAACAATGCCAGCAGCTGGAGTGAACACCAACTTAAAGACACCAACCAACCTGAGTTGCTCCTGCCCTGTGAGACACTGCAGCCAACTTGCACAGCACATACAGTCAAAGCCCAAGGGGAATCACAGCCCAAAGATCTGGGTGTACCTGCAATTCCCATCCTTGCTCTCCAGCTGCTAATTGGGTAAAAGAGAAAGCTGATGAATTTTCTCAGTTCTCTGATCTAAAAGCTTACGGTGGCCCTCAGGTCTCCCTACTGCTGGGTTTGCAGGGCACTGTGCTGTACAGAAAAGTCATATTGAAGATTAAAACAAAGCAGAAACCATCATTACTCCCTCACTCATCCGGAAGGGCGGGTCAGTCATTCTGTTCACCATCATCTTCTGGGTAAATGAAAGCAAAAGTAGAACTAACAAGTCTAAGATGGAAGGAGAGCCTGCAAGGCAAGCACTAAGCAGCAGAAGCATCGATGCAGTAATTAGCTGAGACACATTACAGTCACCGTGTTACAGATCTCTCCAAACACAACAGAAAAGCCATGGCTAAAAGCCCAAACTAAACCTCGTGCTTCAAACCAATCTGAACCAACCTCATGTTCTGCAAAGAGCACCCAGACCTGCATGGCTTCGTGTTGGAGCATGCTGAAGGACTTGGGTAAGCACAGAGACAAGCAGCAGGATGCTGGCCTGCCTGCTTTGCAGCTCTGTATCAGCTTCAGGGTGTGATGCAACCTCCATGCATAATTATTCACTCTATAATTGAAGGTTAGTTCAAAACCACCTCTACATTTGGCCCTTTTCATTAAGAGGCACCAGTGCAAGACTTCTGTTAGCAGCTTTGTGAGCCTGCACAAGGCAATGGAGGACACCCTCCATTTCTCTACCAATCTTCAAGAACCACCATCTGCTTTTGTCTTCTACCTGCCCTCAGACATTTCCAAGCACAGCTGCAGCTTACAAGTGGAAAGTTGAGGTTCTCCCTCTTCCAAACACAGCTAAGAAAAGCTATTCTAGCAGCACTCAAACGGAACAACACCCCACAAAACCCCACGCCTCCTTCTCACCTCTTTCCAGGAGCAGCCAACTGCAGTGGGACACAGCCACCCCTCGGCCAGGAGGGAGCAGCAGTGAAGTGACAGCTTGCAACAGAAGAAAGCAGCAGATTCTGTTCTCTGTGCTATGTCATCATAGCACGGCCCTTACGCAACAACCAGCAGCGAATAAAGCAGTGCTGGAGGAGCAGACACATGCTACACGTGGAATTAAGGGTGACTAAATCAGCGTTAAGTGGTACACAGAAGCCCAGCTCCACCCTCAGTCGCCAGCTGATAGGTGACATAAGCCTTGTCTCTCAATAAAAAAACCCTAGATTCCTGTAAAGCACATCAGAAGGGTCCTTTAATTCGTACAGAAAATCAGGGAGCTGCCAACATGCAAAGTGCTGCAAAGACAGCAGCTATAGCTGCTCTTGCATTATAGTGGCACATCTGCTAACAGCACAAGCAGGACGTCTCCTCCATTAGCAGCCCTCTGAGAAAACAAGCCTTTCTGCTCTCGTGTCCCAGGATGACCAAATTCTTCTCACAGGCAGGAAAACCCAACCCCAGGCCACTGCTGGCAGAGGGCGTAGCGCTCACAGCATCGGCTCAGCAGCTCATCCAACACTGCTCAGCTTCCAGCCCATCTCCTGGTACAGCCCAGCTTCCTCAGCAGCCACCAGCACACACACAGCTCCTCACACACAGGACACAAACACAAATCCACGTGCTCATTCTCATGAATGTGTATTTAGGGTCAGGTAAAGCCCTCTATGAAAACAACTCTGCTCCTTAGCAGTAAAGATAAAATCTCTGATCCGATGCCACGCTCACACCAAAGTTTGGAGGCAGCCCATGACTGCAAAGATACGTTTTCTTAGCCAAGCACATTTGGGTTTGGCTTTTTAAGCTACATTGGATTGCTTGCTGTACAAGATCAATCTATAAAAGATCGATTTAAAACACCAGCTGCATTCTGACACAACACCAAGCTGTCTGCAGGAAGGAGGACTCCCCACAGTCCACGGTCATTGAAACCTTCCAATTCCATTATTAATTACTTGTAGTCATCTTACATACGTTTCAACAAACAAAAAAGCAGGGTTGTCTAAGGTCAACTGCAGCAGCTGTATGTAAATGGAGGGCTTCTATTTATATGCTTGCTATAGGATGCCAGGAGCGGGGCTACCCCGCCTGGTGACTCCAGGATGGGTTGGTTTGAAGACACTGAGCAATGCAAAGGAGTCAAGCACACAACTTCTTATCGCGTGGAAGGCCTTCACCTCAAGCTGCCTTTCAGAACAGAACTTCCTTTGCACAGCTGCAGGCAGATGACTACAACTGGGCTTTTCATCTTTCCAGCTTTTACATCTGAGCACTTCCAGAACCGAACCCACAAATATGGACGTCCCTCACACAACATGAGCTGTTTGCAGTGATGTGCTCTACCCCAAACCGTTACCTTGCTCCTTGTGTTTTTAAGACCACACCAATTAAGCGCACGCAGTAATTAAGCAGCTTGTCCCGCACCGGGGCAGCACAGAAATGAAGGCTCTCCTTCAGCTCCAGACCTTGTGATACTGCCCACACTGCACCCATCAGCAGATGTGGCACTGAGGGATGCTCAGTGGCAATGGGCAGAGGGCTGCACTCGATCTTAGCACTCTTCTCCAACCTTAATGCCTGTGGTTCTATGAGTGAAAGAGAGCCAAGAGGGTTTCTGGTGCAATCCCCAAGGAGGCTGTGGATGCCCCATCCCTGCAGGCATTCAAGGCCAGGCTGGATGTGGCTCTGGGCAGCCTGGGCTGCTGGTTGGCGACCCTGCACATAGCAGGGGGGTGGAACTGGATGAGCATTGTGCTCCTTTCCAATCCATTCTATGATTCTATTTCTAACGCTCAAAGCCCACAGGCTTCCAAGCAGCCCTCCTAACCTCCTTTTAGCAGTTGCCAACGCTCGGAGTCCGCAGCCTTTTCACTTAAACAGCTCTATTTGCATCTTCTTTCGGCTGCTCCCAGTTGCGATTTACATTCAAAGCCCGCACAGACTCCTCATTTCCTCCTGCAAGCTCCCAGCTCAACACGTGGAGCCCACAGAGCTCTCCGGGGCTCTCTGTACACGGGGACGTTTCCCTGGGGGGGGGGGGGGGGGGGGGGGGGGTGCCGTTCTAACAGCCGGCTCGCGGCACCTCACGGCGAGCGCAGCGCCGAGCGGCTCGGAGAGCAACAGAACGGAAAGCCGTTCCGCCGCACCGCACGGGTAACTCAGATGCGAACGGCGTCCCGCGAAGGGAAGCTTTGATCCCAACCGAAGGAAGGAGCGGCGGCGGATGGAGCAGCGCAGGGCCGAAAGCCGGGGTGACCTTGGGCTGCACGGAGGGAACCCCGGGGCGGCAAACGGGGCCGGGGCGAACCCCGCCTCGCCCAACGGGGCCGCGCGGCGGGGCGGAGCTCTCCCACACAACCCCCCCCCCCCCCCCCCCCCCCCCCCCCCCCCCCCCCCCCCCCCCCCCCCC